AGCAACCACCCCCTCCTAAAAATAAAAATCTTCCAAAGCTTTTTTATAAGGTTAAATTAGATAAATCTGCTGCTTCCCGGTTTTTTTAATTGTCACTCATGCGAAAAGGTGTCACTTTTCGCGCCGACTTCTTCCTGCCGCTTAATGTTACTGACATCACACTACCTTTTGGGTTTTTCAGGAAAAGAATGAGATAAAAGCAGTTTCCGTGGCAGGGGAATCTTCATTTTCCATATGAATACTACATTATAATCAAATAGTTTCGTGACGTTTTGATCCTGAGGTTGGAAGAACAAAAACGCCCCTTAAAAATGCCTCTCCGGAGAAACAGCCCGGAAAACGTTCCGTCCTTCTCTGTTACAAGCATTCTGCGCCTCCCTCCTTTCCACAAAGGGTCAAGCAAGACTAACGGCTTCTAAACTTCCAGAATTAATAAGGAGAATTAAGTTGTATACGTTCTTGGTCAACCCAAGCTCCCCTTCGGAGAAATGTTAAAGCAAACCATGTGCCTTCTGCCTCATGCTAAGCACAGTCCGCCACCACCTGAGCTCCTGACCTCCACGGAGTTACTCGCTTAAGCCTCCGCGCACTCAAGTGCATAGTGAAAAGGAGAGAACGGGTGATCCACTGTGTTCTGACCGAAGCAACATTTCAGAAGAGCTGAATTCCTGGGCCCCACAGAAGAGACAGCTGGGTAGCAAAGAGCATTGACCTCAGGATGTCTCCCTGTCTGTGTGGCATTACAGAGGTGATTTACATTTCTGGGCCTTTCTTTTCCGATCCACACAAGACATTAGGCTTAGACTCTGAAGGCACAGGAGTCCGAAGCACTCCCCAGCTTCTGCAAGGGGTCCAAGTATGTTCCACAGACAGCAGAAACATCACATGTAGCACACACATACGCTTTTTCCAAACGCACACAAGTGCTGTTTAATAAAGTACAGAGTAAGGCAAAGCATTACTGGTATCGAGTAGCTTTTGTTATCCATGGATTTTCTTACCCAAAAGATGTTAATGATCTCACTTATGTGTGGAATCTTAAAAAAAAAAAAGCTCACCGATGCAGAGAACAGATTGGTGGTTGCCAAAGGTAGGAATGGATGAAACAGGTGAAGGGGGCGTGGTCAAAAGGTACAAACTTCCAATTATAAAATAAGTAAGCCCTGGAGAATGTAATGTATAGCATGGTGACTACAGTAGCAGTGTGTTTCATATTTGAAGGTTGCTAGAAAGATCTTAAAAGTTCTCATCGCACACACAAATTTTTTGTAACGATGTTAGGCGATGGATATTAACGGGACTTATTGTGGGAATTGCTCAGCCGTGCATACAATTATCAACAAAACACTGTATCATGCACCTGAACTCTACTATAACGTTATACGTCAAATATGCCTCGGTAACAAAGAAAGATAGGGACAGTTTAACTAGCATTATACAGGGGTCCTGGAAGTTCTGTTGACATTTAAAAGAGGGTCCTCATATATTGAAAAGAATTAGGAAATCACTGGTCTAGAACTCTGGATGATCTCTAAAGCTCCTTTACAGGGATTAGCACATAATCTATCTTTCTCAGAGAGCAGGTCAGCCACTATTAATAGTGGTGAGGAAAGAAAGGGTTAAGCCGACTAATTCCAGACATTGTCACTTAATTTCAAAATTAATTGAAGTCTTAAAACGGAAGGAAAAAAAAGAACTTGCGTTTTGGTCAATTATCACCAAACGTTTCTATTACATCCAAGGCTATCCAAACATGTATTTCTCTGAGGCCTGAAACCCCTTGAAAAAAAAACAAGTCTGAGCATACAGTTCATAGCCAGCCATCACTATTTAGACTTAAAGCCCATCTTTCCATGTATTATGATGGTAGTAATATCAAATGCCTTTTAAAAACCATTTAATACCTTCTACGACTTTTATGGTACATCAAATTACAAGCCTACTCTTGTGAAAGGAAATTGTCTGCATCCTCGCATAACCACGTGTCAAATGAATAATTGAGAAACAGGGCAAAGAGCTTTGAAAACCGAGAGGTATCATATGGATAGTAAAAAAAAATAATGCAGACAGATGACCTCCGCCCTGAAATTCAGCAACTATTCAATAAAAATTACAAAAAAAAAAAAAAAATCA